TGAACTGATAGTTGTGTTGTTGATAAGAGATGAACTGATAGTTGTGTTGTCTATAAGAGATGAACTGATAGTTGTGTTGTTGATAAGAGATGAACTGATATTTGTGTTGTTGATAAGAGATGAACTGATAGTTGTGTTGTTGATAAGAGATTAACTGATACTTGTGTTGTTGATAAGAGATGAACTGATAGTTGTGTTGTTGATAAGAGATGAACTGATAGTTGTGTTGTTGATAAGAGATGAACTGATAGTTGTGTTGTCTATAAGAGACAAACTGATAGTTGTGTTGTTGATAAGAGGTGAACTGATAGTTGTGTTGTTGATAAGAGATGAACTGATAGTTTTGTTGTTGATAAGAGATGAACTGATTGTTGTGTTGTTGATAAGAGATGAACTGATAGTTGTGTTGTTGATAACAGGTATTGTGGAAGACCACCAGGTCCCTTACTATGACTGTGTACTCAATGACCCCAGTTTTGATGAGATGAGGAAGATTGTGTGTATAGAAAAAATAAGACCAGCTATTCCAAACAGATGGTCCTCAGATGAGGTAAGTCCTAATAATTGTAGTATCATTGAAAATATTTCCTATCTATGCATCCGCTACAATATAGTTAGTCTCACAATTATTTCTGTTGTCTGAGTTATAGACATTGAATCTAAAATACTATTTTTATTTTCTGAGCAATTAGCAAGGAATCTTAAATATTCATATTTTTAAAAGAATAGGCTGAACAAAATTTGCAATGTTAGTGACATAGTGCAGGTTGCATCGAATAACTGTTAATAGTAGATGCTAAGACATGAATCACATATTTTCCAGTACCTACGGACTACATCCCGAGTGTTGCAGGAGTGTTGGGCACCCAACGCAGCAGCTAGGCTTACCGCCCTCCGTGTGAAAAAGACTCTAGGCAGACTCAACGAAAAACTCCACAAATCTACAAAGTCTGACAGCTAGGGCTGTGTACGTGTTAGCCTCATAGAGGAACTGCAATCTTCCAATCAAAACCAGCCATACTGTTGACAAGACTGCCATATATACTCCCTGTATAGTTTGGGGAGATTTAGCTTATAGGTTCACTGTACAATGACTGGCCAAGTGTTAACTTCCAGGTCTCGTGCTGTTTACTGCTTGAGTAAATATTCATGATATTTCTGTCGCTAAAATTTGTGCATCCTTATGTCAACTCATGCAATACTGTGTAACTCTTTAATTACTTGTAGTCAAACTTACATTGATTTTGTTCCTGAGCAAATTCAAGGGATTTTAATTTGTGAAACACCATTCCTAAGCAAAATTGCTGTCTAAATTTCTGACAGATGAACAATGACATTATTTGCATGGTTTGTGTTTCAGAATTTCCGATTTTGTGTAGGAGAGGGGAGGCATGAACATATAAAAAAATATAAACTTCATGAAAATAAACACTATACAGTAAATATTAAGTTCTTTACAGTGAATTAAGTGCTTTACAGTAAATGTGATTTACATTAAATATGAGTACTATACAGTTAATATAAGAGTGATACAGTAAATATAAGTGCTTTACTATTAATATATATCTTGTGAAGTAATATACAGTAAATATAAGTACTATTTGGTGAATATAAACACTTCACAGTAACCTAAAAATTACAGTATTCTATTTCTCCAAATAATTTACATATTTTTATGAGAAAACATTGAAAAAACGGTATCGGTCATGATGTAATTTGTTGGCATCTCTGTTGAGCTGCAATATATATGGGTGGGCTTATTACCAGGCATGGACTTATTGCCCGATAAATACAGTAATATTATTATTATATATGTTATTCACTAGTGTTTAGGCCAGTTAGAAGTTATACAGTTGTTTATGACATAGACCAGGGCCACATATTAGAAGACTGGTTAGCTTGATGAGAAGTTAGCCAATGTCATAGACCAGGGCCACATGTTAGAAGACTGGTTAGCTTGATGAGAAGTTAGCCTAAAACTTCAGTTTATCATATTATCCAAAATATTGAAATTCAACACTTAAGTTGTTTGTATAGAGATTCAAAATCAACTTATAGACCAATAAAATGATTTGTTAACTTTAAGATTTTTCTCAAAAAACTGCTTTTTGAAAAATACATTGAATTAAGAGCTTGTTAAGCTAATTGGACTTTGAACAAGGGAGTCCTGGTGTTTGCACATTTAATATTAACCACTTATTGAATCCATATTTTAGTACAATCCTCAAATGACCATAGCTGTTGATAGGATGTTAAACAATACTAAACCAATCTAGTACAATAATGTGAATATGTAGATAATACATACTGGAGTAGATTTTTAAGGTGCTCTGATCATTAAGTTACACTGAAAAAAGGTTGAAGATCTGAATCAAAGGTCTGACAGGAAGTTACATCATCAGTTATATTTTTTTAAAGAAAGTATTTGTTTTCATATCTTGTTCATTTATATATATTGGTGACAAAATTCCATAATTAATACCAGTGATTTTTAATGTCTTTATAATGATTAATGTTGATCAGTAAAATGTAATAACATGTACTTCCAAAGGGAATGCCGATTACTGCCGAAGTTAACGAAATTACATCCACTTCCACAGGGAATTACAATTAGTATTACCTGACTCTCTATTTAAGTGTATATGAAGTATTTTTGACTGTTTTAATAAAAATTCCCTGGAAAAGACTGAAAACCCGTAAAATAATGTCAGGGTGCAACAGTCACCCCACTCAAGCGTCTTTTTGATACAGATTTGTTTGTTGTCGTATGGTGAAAATGACGAATAACAGCAGATTTGAGGATGTTTCTGAGCAAGATTTGGAATTGCTTATGGAAAATAGGGACTCGCTTAGTACAAAAAACGTCATTAAGGGAGCAGTGAATATTTTGGATAAATATTGTGCAGAGAAGGGGTTGTGATCAACGAAAACTGCAGTAATGAAGAACTGAACGTGTTTTTGTTTTTTAAATAGATAGTCAGGTAATAAATCATTTGTTTCATTGGTACTGGGGGAACAGTTTTAATCCTTGACTCTCGGGTCAATGATTTGACTGTTCCCCCAGTGCCAATGGAACAATTGTATACTGTTGAACAGCTAATGGAACTACATCCACTTCCACAGGGAGTTTCTATAAGACTACCCCAAACTGTTGATCAATAAACATAATTACATGTACTAAATCTAAGAAATGCCCATAACTGCTGATCAGTAAATGTAATTACATGTACTTACACAGGGAACTTGATGAAACTACCCAAATACTGTGTTGATCAATGTATTTCATCAGATCATGCCAATTACTGTCAGTCAGTAAATGTAATTGTGACTGGTAATTGCATGTGGAACTCTGATAAGATTACTCCAATACATGTACCCTCAAATAGTAAATGTACATGTAATTACATGTACTTCCAAAGGGAATACCCAATATTGTTGAACAGTTAATGTAAATACATATATTACAATGGAGACGTCTTGTCAATTTACTGCTGTACAATACAATCAAATAATTGTAAATATTTTTGAGCTTCCCCTTTTCTTTTTTCACCACATGTGCATCTTTATCTTTTTTCGTCTGAACTAAGGATTGATTTTATACATTATTGAAAGCATGGAAAATATTCGTGATAGAAAGAGTTCATTTCTGTTCTTTGTAAATTTTGGTTTCAAGTACAAATGTTTTTTTAAGATTGATTCAGAATTTTAGAACTTTCATACATCGATTTATTTAAGTTTACAAAACCTGACATTGATTTTTGCTTTTACGTTATATTTTAGAAAAAAAATGGCTAATGATTTTTAATGTAGCTATACAATATTGCATGCATTTTTTGAATTACAAAATAAATTTGTATGGTGACATGGAAAAAGATGAAATGAAAAAACAGCATAGCTGTGATATGACCGGTAAAATTCATGTACTGGTGACGGAATCCTACTGATTCATAGACATTTTATAGCAATAAGGTGAGGCACAGAATCAAAGCGTTTATATGCTATAGTTATGATGTATCGATGTAAATAATTGTCTATAATAAGTGTACTTTTTCACTGCTGTTATAGTTTTCCTAGGTATATGTTACAGACTGTAACAAATGTTTTTGTTTTCTTCGATCTACTGGGTAAATGTATTATACTTGCTAGCTGTGTAATATTTTGTATTGTTACACCGCAAGTGAATTTCTAGCTATTTGATTGGTTGGGAGAAAATTAAACAAAAATCTCTGTCACCCACCGAAAATACATTGGTTTTAAGGGGCGCGGGTGATATTGCCATGAGACAGTGAAAAATATCACATGCGCAAAAAATGTGCGTGTACCGCTTCGATGGTCACAAGAATGTTTGACGGAAACAGACAATTTCATCAAGCGCCGGTGCGATTGTAAACAGCAGACTATCAACAAACAAGATTTCATTATCAAGTTTTGCTGCCGTTTCTGAGCTACATTGACTTTTGGTGTAACAAAATAGATGTGACATTCATTAGCAGGTGACAGGGAATATTGTCAACCCTCAAAAACCCATTGTCACCCTCGGCTTCGCCTCGGGTGACAATGGTTTTCTCGGGTTGACAATATTCACTGTCACCTGCTAATGAATGTCATATTTATATAATATTTTTCGATGAAAATTGGTCCCAGAGACTGTAAACTTACACTATGTATTTCTTAATTCATATTTAGGTTGACTATGAAAGTTTTGTGCCACATTTTCAGAAACATTTGTTGTAATTTTTAAACCAATGGAAATTAATCTTTTTAATCTGTATTGCAATAATCATTACATGCTGTATCTTTATAATTATGGCCGTAGCCTTGGCCTACTGATTTGGGGGCAAATTGAAACTAAGGTCCAGGAATGAAGCACTTGGTTGGAGGTATTTGGGGAGGGGGTGGGGGGGGGAGACCTCAAGACCCTTGCCTCATTCAGGCTACGGCCATGACAATAATCTCTATATCACAATCTTTATCATAATACATGTACATGTGTCCGTTTCATGATATTAATCTTCATTTCATAAGTTACTTTATGTATACATAAAATTACCTCTACAAATTGAAACATTTGTTACATATATGGTTTAAAAATTATGGCATTGTCATTTCTCATCTCACCCCATTATATTGGATCTTTACCTCAGTGTCATTCTGTTTTGTCTTCATCAAGTTTGATCAGAAATATTTTAATGTGCTGTAGATGGATGTATTTTATAAAATTAATGTTTTAAATAATATGAAATGCATATAGAAGAACAAAGCTCTGGTAGGTATTATATGTGTTTCTTATAAATGTTCGTTGTGTTTGAAAAACGAACATTTCCATTAAAAGTTTTCAGGGAAGGTCTTATTTCCTGTGCATTTTCAAAACGCTTGACATTTATTTGAACTCTGAAGCTCTCTATGAGAGTGTTTTAACAGAAAATAAATGGCTTGTACTTGAATGTACTATAATCACAGAACCAGGACTATGTTGATTGTGATATTTTTAATATGATGTCCCCCTTGTTTGTATGTATATTGTAGGTAAATACTGCTTTAACAAGGATCAGAAATAATGACATAGTGATTACATTGACGAGTAATTCATAGTTCAGTGTGGTTATTATAGATATGATGATATGGATTTTGGAAATCTTTTTATATGGAGGTGGAAAAGTAAAGATAGGTAGATAATATTACTGTGTCTGCTTTCATATGGGATGTGTCCTCTACTGATTTATACAAGGAAAAAGTGTGTAGTATTTTTAGAGTAAAGTATTGTTTATATATAGGAAAGAAGCTTTCTGTTTGCATATTTGTATGGTATGTACATCAACATGTACGTTGAGGATAATCTGTTTGTATAGAATGTGTATGGTCAGGGTAAAATGTGCATGGGATAGATCTGTATGGTAAAAAAATGTGTGATTAGAATGTAAAACTGTGTAATTTGAATGTGTATGGTAAAAATGTGTTAATTATAAGTATATTCAAAATGTGTATGGTTAGAATGTGTAAGGGATGGATTTGTATGGTAAAACAGTATTTGTATGGTCAGAATTTGTATGGTAAGAAAGGGTATGATCAGAATGTGTATGACACAGATGTGCTGTATATCCACTATCCGTTAGTATAGTACAATAATATATAAAGCCCCTGTAACTGTCTTACCTGTTGATGTGTATCGTATTATGTACATTTGTATATAAATATATATATATAGATGTGATATGAAACATTTTCATGAATTGTTTTCCATGTCTATACTCACCAAGCTTGTAATTTATTTTGCAAATTTGTCAGATTCTTATGATGATTATACATAAATCATGGTTACTGCTTGAGGAGAAGGGGTATTTTGTAGGAAACCCAACCTCTAGTATATTGAAAAAAAAATCATCGTAACAAGTATCAATCAATCAATGTCATGTAGACGTTTATATGTCATGGTTGTAAAGCTGCAAAATCAAATCATTTTCAAGAGTTTAAAGTACCATGATCAAAATTTTATACTGAAATTTGTTGTAATATTTCCAGAGCTAGATCTAACAGGTTCTTTGTGGAAAATAATACCAATATACTTCAATAGAAAATATATATGTCAACATGCTACTGGTAAGACCAATGGTACCAATATACTTAAATAGAAAATACATATGTCAACATACAAGGTTTTCTACAGCTAGTATACCATAGATTTTCCTTTCTAATTATTTTGAAGCCACTTTTACTACAAGTCTGAAGTTACTGACATTCTCCTTTTGAAAAACATATTGATGGGTTGGAGATGAGATTTTTAAGAAGGTAAATGTTAGTTATTTGGATTACTTTACTACATAACAGATTAAGTAAAATGACCACCTGCCCGAGAGTAATATTATTTCAGGGTATTACCCAGATTACTGATATCTTGCCATTAATTGGTTGCTAAGGTAATTAATTATCAATATACTTTGTCATTGTTTAACAAATGGATAAATTTAAAATATCTTCCATTGCAGATAGTTTGTAATCATCTTTGCACAATAAACAAAGCTTAAATGTCAACTTGAGTGAGATTTTAATATAAAATATATTTATTTTGTCATCTGGTAAGTCAAGACTTACATTAGAAAATAATTTATTACTCAGGTGAGTAATTATGTCTCCCTATTCATGACATATATGGATTACTTGGTGAGATACGACTCATCATAAAAGACTTACATATGTACATTAAGTATTGGGCCTTCTTAGGTGAGTTGTGACCCAATACTCAAGATTTACACAATATGCTTAGACACCTTGTGTGAGCAATGATTCACAACTCAAGATTTACACTAAGTACTCATTCTGTGTGAGCAATGACTCATAACTCAAGATTTACACTGAGTACTTATACACCTTGTGTGAGCAATGATTCACAACTTAAGATTTACATTTAGTACTTAGATACCCTGTGTGAGCAATGACTCATAACTCAAGATTTACACTGAGTACTTAGACACCCTGTGTGAGCAATGACTCATTACTCTAAATTAACACTGAGAACTTAGACACTCTGTGTGAGCAATGACTCTTAAGTCAAGATTTACACTGAGTACTTAGACACCCTGAGTAAGCAATGACTCTTAACTCTAAATTTACACTGAGTACTTAGACACCTTGTGTGAGCAATGACTCATACCTCAAGATTTACACTGAAAACTTAGACACCCTGTGTGAGCAATGACTCATAACTCAATTTCTCACTGAGTACTTGGACACCTTGTGTGAGCAATAACTTATAACTCAAGATTTACACTGAATACTCAGACACTCTGTGTGAGCAATAACTGCAAACTAGAATCATACAGGAAGCCTACTTGTCCTCCCTTGGTGGTGTGTAACTGCAAACTGGATCATACAGTTAGCCTACCTGTCCTCCCTTGGTGGTGTATAACTGCAAACTGAATCATACAGTAAGCTTACTTGTCCTCCCTCGGTGGTGTATAACTGCAAACTGATTCATACAGTAAGCTTACTTGTCCTGCCTGGGTGGTGTATAACTGCCAACTGGATCGTACAGTAAGCTTACTTGTCCTGCCTGGGTGGTGTATAACTGCAAACTGGATCGTACAGTAAGCTTACTTGTCCTGCCTGGGTGGTGTATAACTGCAAACTGGATCATACAGTAAGCTTACTTGTCCTGCCTGGGTGGTGTATAACTGCAAACTGGATCATACAGTAAGCTTACTTGTCCTGCCTGGGTGGTGTATAACTGCAAACTGGATCATACAGTAAGCTTACTTGTCCTCCCTTGATGGTGTATAACTGCAAACTGGATCATACAGTAAGCTTATTTGTCCTGCCTGGGTGGTGTATAACTGCAAACTGGAGCATACAGTAAGCTTACTTGTCCTCCCTTGGTGGTGTATAACTGCAAACTGGATCATTCAGTAAGCTTACTTGTCCTGCCTTGGTGGTGTATAACTGCAAACTGGATCATACAGTAAGCTTATTTGTCCTGCCTGGGTGGTGTATTACTGCACACTGGAGCATACAGTAAGCTTACTTGTCCTCCCTTGGTGGTGTATAACTGCAAACTGGATCATACAGTAAGCTTACTTGTCCTGCCTGGGTGGTGTATAACTGCAAACTGAATCCTACAGTAAGCCTACTTGTCCTCCCTTGTTGGTGTATAACTGCAAACTGAATCATACAGGAAGCCTACTTGTCCCTCCTTGGTGGTGTATAACTGCAAACTGGAATCATACAGTAAGCCTACTTGTCCTGCCTGGGTGAGATTGACTTTCTGGTAAGTCGGGTCTTACTTTGTCCTCCCTTGGTGATGTTTTACCGATGACTGGAGTCTTCCATGAAGAGATTGTCGACCGAAGATGAAATCTGACTTTTTTCTTACGTGGGGAACCTTTCCTTCTATAGCTAGGTGAGATATGGATATGGCTTTTGACTTTACATGCCTTATCCCAGATGGGATAATCGGTGATACAAATATCTATATCCATTACTTAATCAGTCGACAACAACGGAGTTCGTGACATTAACATTTGGAGGATGAATAACAACCAATTCTTGGGCTCGATAAAGGCTTTTATTGGATGGTAAGAACCATCAGCAGGCATCTCAAAACGATATTTCCTACGCCGAGACGACCCCAGGACAACTGGAAGTCTATCGTCGTCATATTTGTCCTTCTACAATAGTCAGGGGCGTAGCGTCCATAGAAAAAAAGCCCGGGCTTACACATAAAAAAATCCGT